CTTTCAGACTTCGAGGATACAGATGACCTTGCAGTGGCTTCAGTCTATCCACTAACCATTTTGCAACGGTGTGATAGGGGGAATTCCTCATATCCAAGATTGGACGTAGGGGCAACCCTTGTTTGTGGATTTTAGGAAGGCCGTACATTCTTGGTATTGTCGTGCCCACCGGCCTCAGTCGTTCATACTCTTTACTAGACAAATGGCCTTCTTTGCAGAGGTCTTTGAGAATACTCGTCAACTGACCCTCGACAGCCTCTGTGTGATCCTTATCTTTCTCGGATTTCGAAAACTTGGAACAATCCGACAGTATTTCCTCTAGTTTCGCCACATAATCCGTTCTATCCATCAGTACTACTCCTGAACCCTTATCTGGTCTGGTTAGCACAATGTCTTTGTTTTTGCGGAGTTCCCTAAGGCTATCGATGTGAGCCCTTGTCAAGGGACCCTTGCTTATCCGAGACTTCCTTAGATACTGTTGGCAGCAGTTAACTAGGGTCGACTTAAGACAATCAACTTCTTTAGTATCGCTAGGTTTTGGATCTGTAGTCTGACTAAAGAGACTCTCAAATTGGATTTCTAGCTCTAATTGTTTCGGCATCCGCCGTGCAATACAAAACTTAGGACCAAGAGCTAGTACCTCTACGAGAGCTTTATCAAGACGTACTGAGGAATAGTTATGTACGTACCGTTCCGGATTGTTCGGAAGGACGGTCTGAGCTTTTACTGACTGGACGCTTCGTAGGAGCTTAGTCCACCTGGCCTCCATTCTTTTAATTCTGACTGTCTCTGCATAGTCTTTGAATGCCAGTCTCTCGTGATTGTCAAGGCGGTCAAGGGCCACTACTCTCTGACACATGTTCCGGTGGAGTTCTTTAATTCCGGCATTAACTGTCTCTAGGTGGCTTTCTGCATGTCGTTTTAGTGCAGTTGAAGTTGTGGCAATATGGTTTCGTCGTAAGGTTTTCCAGTAGTATTTGGGATATTCACCCCGTTCAATACATCCTGATAAGAATTTGCTCGTCACACGTGCCTCCGCAAGCCTGGTGTTAAACTTGAGGAATCCATTGAGTTCCTTTAACACCGAGGGATCTTTGGATTGTCTCAGTTCCGTACAACGAGACGCCTGGTAAAGAGGGTGCGTGAACATATGCCCGCCTGGCTAGGCAGAGGTGAGACCCGATCGGTTTCGAGTTCTATTCTCGCACATTTAATCGATACGGATCACCGAGTCGATGCCAAGGAAGCATTTCAGGTTGTCTATCGGACACCAACAAGCTTCTCTAAAGGCCTACGCCAACGGATACTAGCAACGGCCGAGGCAGTGGCAATACGGCTAACGAATCCGGTGCTATGCTGTCAGAAAACCCTGACACAAGCGCTCTCTCTGCCGTGGCCAACGCCAACCTCACGTGATGACGACATGCCGCCTCAAATCCCTGATTACGGTGATGGGTACTCCGTGTACTCAATCCAAGAGCATCACTCAAAAACTCGCTTACCCCCCTCCCCCAGCCCTAAGGACCAAAACCCGCCGACCTCGTCATGCGGGCGGCGTGGGAAAGATGAGTGTTAATGACATAATTGACCTTTAGACACCTATAAACACTGTTACTTTTGTACATTTTCACTCCTTCATGTAATTGTATTGGCCTGACGAAGAATTACTGAAAACACGTGTTAGCCAACTTGACTTTTCAAGTGTACCATGGGAATATTTGCGGAACTGAGACAATTCCACAAATCGCAACTCAAAAAGTAGCCAACGCTTTACTGGCACAGCGCGTATTCATCTCTGGAGTTCCTGTGAATATCACAACTGACCGCGGCTCCATACTTACTTCTCTTCTATGTGCAAAACGGGTTCGAACGATGTATTACTATCCCCAGGATAATGTACTTGCCGAACACCCCTGTCGACGGAAAAAAGACAATCCTGACGGCTCAGCCTGATCTCACCCGACGGTCTTGGTGGTGGTAGGGGGCGCTCACCGATCGTTATTACGGAACTCACTCGTTCCGATGTGCCTTACGGGCTCTCTCTCGAGCCCAAACGGCAGCCGCACAGCGGCGCACGATATAGGCAGAATGGCATTACCGACAAAGACAAGGGAGACTGGAATGGCCATTTCTGGCTTCTTAGCCGTCGTCAGCCAGTCATACCCAACCCCGAAGTGTGGAACACCCGAGGCTCGAACTAGCGACCTGTTAGTTAGAAGTCCACGCCTCTAACCGCTGGGCCACGAGCCCGTTGCCCTGTCGGTTTCGATCGGGAATATACAATGGTAGGGACGATCGAAACCGACAGGGCAACGGGCTCGTGGCCCAGCGGTTAGAGGCGTGGACTTCTAACTAACAGGTCGCGAGTTCGAGCTCGAGTGTTCCACACTTCGGGGTTGGGTATGGCTGGGTATGAACAAGCACGAATATCTTCTGATTATATGTCTTCCACTTTGGTAGGGGGCGATCACCGATCGCTCTTACGGAACTCACTCGTTCCGTTGTGCCTTACGGGCTCTGTCTCGAGCCCAAACGGCAGCCGCACAGCGGCGCACGATATAGGCAGAATGGCATTACCGACAAAGACAAGGGAGACTGGAATGGCCATTTCAGGCTTATTAGCCGTCGTCAGCCAGTCATGCCCAACCCCGAAGTGTGGAACACCCGAAGCTCGAACTCGCGATCTGTTAGTTAGAAGTCCGCGCCTCTAACCACTGGGCCACGAGCCGGTCTTGGTGATGGTATCCTCATTCTACTCTCAAGTCCGACACCGGTTGGACTGCAGTTGAAGTCTTCTATAGAACTCCCACAACTGCCCGGTAAATCAGTCCCCTCTACAGGCACATTGCGTTCCTTATTTCGCCAGTTCCTTAGACCGACTCCACAATACCATGCGCATTATCCGTGCATCACCCCCTCGGGCTTCATCGGCTTTAGCCCTCCCGACCAGCGTGCAGATCGGTTCGCAATGGGCAGACATGGCTGTACAAGCTGCTCCGCCAATCCTACAAATATTTCTTCACCGACTGCAACGAGATGGCCGGACACTGTTTGCACTGACCGTGTCAAACCAGTAAACATCAAGGACCTCCCCTAAACGCTGTCTCAGACTTCAAACTCACCAGAGCCTAATGGCATCGGTCTAGCTATAATTTTTGGAGTAAAGTCCGGTCGGCATGCACTGACCAAAGTGATGTGACTGGCTTACCTATAAATGTCCTTGCCTAGTTGGGTTTCCGGCGTCCGGATGAATGCCGGAGTCCTGTACAGAGTAGGGCTGACCTGTGAGTGTGCTATTTACGAACTATCTCAGGTCTATCGCCCCCCCCCCTTTGGCACTCCACGTCTTGTTGGGCTGAGTCACGACAACGTCTACAAACAGGTGCATCTCACACGCACCGAATGATCATATTTTTTGTTCATAGCGCCGCCTGACCATGAGACCAGGATTTGCCTCATGTACCAGCCCCGAGCTTTAACCCAACATTGCCCCGGTCCATCAACGACTAATGCTGACAACGACCATCCCGACAAGTGCACAAACCGAGTCGCAGTTTACGCACTCGCTGACGGACGTCCATTTTCCATCCACTGCACGCCGTCGAATAACTGCCGCCTGCCGGTGGACAAAATACGCTTACTAACGTTCGTCGCCCTCGAGCCTCTGCCATTAATCAGCACAAAAATTAATTATAAATAGTTGCGGTTGACCGGATATCCTTGACTTTCAAAAAACTTTGATCCTTATTTCTCCAGTAGATCGCTGTAGTTCGCAGGGCACAGTGGCAAGGCATGAAAACCATTAAACTTATGCTTCGAAAGAGGAAATCGACTACGTCTCCCTAGCCATGAGCTCAAGCACGCTATCAATGACCCTAGCAGAGTAATAAAGGTCACGAAGATCGTAAAAACCTAGCCATCATAGACACCATACACCTTCACCCAGTTTACTTGGATATAAATGCTTACTGGGTGAGGAGTGGAGAAATGAGCATAATGAACAATGGGCAGGAGAACGTACAGATCCTTGCACACGCCACATGTCAGTTCCGCGGTCTCCGTCATGAGGAAACTGTCGGGCATAACGAACGACCACTACACGGAAGCTGTTACGACCAATGGGTTGGGTCATATCGGAACGACCAATTAGGTCGCGACCTTTAGTTCACTCACTGTCCAATAAGCGTACAGGCGGGTAGACACGCGTGACTTCAGTTCCAGCCCAGACGCGTTGTCGAATCCTGACACAGGATTGGCCACCTCCGCTGCATCATGGACTCACTGGTGGGGAGCGCGTGATAGGGCGTGCGTCGGCATCAACTGAAGGTCGTTGGCACGCGTCGAAGTCTGCGCGTCAATTGTTACACCTTGGAAGACCAATTCGTTTGGCAGGGGAGCTGTTAAAACCTTCTTCTGCACGGTCAATGCTTGGTCAGCATGGCAAACCTCAGTTTCTAACGTGAAATCCTAATAAATAACTGCATGGCCATTTCATGAATTTCGTGGTTGCGCTGTTCCTTTTGCTATTGAAACAGAGAACGGCAAAAGAACTTCTGGACATTAGTCAAAACCAAACGTCTGACGTGGTTTGCTTGGTACCCTCCGAACGACGTACAGATTAGCAGGTATAAACTTTTGTTGGTGTCGAAATGTAAATGAACCAGCAAAATTGACGGAAGCACTTGATCACGGATTCCAGATATACAGGGTACGGCCAGGTAAGTCTACCCCGAGAGTTGAATATTTGTCTGCGACATCTCTGCCTTCGGTGCATTGGGAGAAGGACACGCTGAATTTTAAAGGAAGTTGCAAACGTCTGTAGAAAAAAATATTCTCCGCTAACCATTGCCAAAATACTAACTGCGGAACATCAGGCAAAACTGCTATAGAAAGAAGAGGAGGCGTTCACCGGGAGAGGTGTATTTGAGGTCTGACGTTTCGGGTAGTCGTTTCTTCTACCCATCTTCAGAAACTGAGTAGTCGCGCACGCAGCTTTCCTTTTATGGCGCACTTTGTTTGATGCCTGGCCCACCAATGCCGCCTGTGTGGCTGCATCCGACCCGCATGTCACCGTGACCTGAATCGCCCCCGTCCTCGTCGGCCGCGGAGATAGTTGGCGACCCCGATTGTCGCTCGCCGTGACTGTCCCCCGTCAAGAATGTCCGTAAAACCAGATAAGGTGGAGGTAAATTGATGTGGCGGTTGACAGAACAGTCGGTAGACATCCAGGCTTCCTGCACCTGCCTTGCCGTATGATCATCACCTCGGCCCACAATTTCAACGGCGTCAAAGTTTAAGACGTGTCCCATTTGGGCGGCAGGGGTTGCTACCTCCGACTTCGGGTCCAACCTTCGCACGGCTAACTTATGCCCGTGCATGCGCGTTTGCAGCCGTCGGCCGGTTTCCCCAACGTAGTTATACATTCCGCAGCTGCACTGAAGTCGGTAGACAACAGCCGACATCTCCTGTTTTGGGGTCAGGTCTTTTGGCAGCATCACTTGCCGACGGATTGTTGAGTCGGGCCTGTGCGCAACGCCTATTCCGAGCGGCGCAAGGGATCTGGCTACGGCTTCGGAGACCCCTTTCATGTATAGAATGCTCCACCACGATTGTGGCTGAATAGGTTCTTCATTCCGCTTCCTTGGTTGCCTTCGGCCCCCCTTAAAGAATGCTCGTGGATAGCCGTTGACTCTGAAGAGTTCTTGGAGGAGCTTCATCTCGTCCGGTTTGGCGACTGGAGTGCTGCAATGAGTTTCCACCCGTCGGTATAGCGTGCGTACACAGCTTCGTTTGTGTTGCAGGGGGTGGTTGCTGTTGTAACTGAACATTTGCAGCGTGTTCGTCGGTTTTCTGTAGACTGACGTCGCCAGTTTACCGTCTGGTTGGCGGCAGACGAGAACATCCAAAAATGAAAGTTTGCTCTCCACTTCTTCTTCCATCGTGAACTGTAGGTCGGGGACAATTGAGTTCAATAGTTCTTCATAGTAGCTAATTTTATCCTGATCGATGATTACGAAGGTATTATCAACGTAGCGCGCCCAAAACTTGGGTTTGTATTCCCCGAACAGTCGTTTCTCGTGTTTTTTGCAGAACGGCCTCGGCAATGAATCCGGAGATTGGCGAACCCATCGGAGTGCCCTTAATTTGCTCATAAGTGATCCGTCGAAGGTAAAAAATGTCTTAAGGCAGTGCCTTATGAGTTCAATGAGATCCTGAGCCGTGGGCTGACCATCGCCCTCGTCGTAATTCTGACGTAGCAGGTCACTGAGCGTATCGACCGTAAGGGCCTGTGGTATGGACGTGAAGAGTGAGACGACGTCAAATGACACCATCTTCTCACTCGGTTCGATCGTGACCGCCGTTATTTTGTCGAGGAATTGCTCTGCTGAGTTTACGGTTGTTTCTGAGCCCGCGGTTAGGAATCTTAGCTTCTGAAACAGCCAATTTGCGAGCCCGTACGTGGATGTGCCTCGGAGTGAGACGATTGGTCGGAGGGGAACATCTGACTTTTGTACTTTTGGGGGGACCTTAGAATCTCGCCATCGGTTTTTCTGTGGGCTTTGCCATTCTTTGACGGTGAGGACTTTTTCCTTCTTTAGTCGAGACAGGATTCTGTTAACCTTCACCAGTAGGGACTTTAGACTGGCGGCGTCGCTGACCATGTAGGACTCCCGGTCGCTGAGGAGCATGAGCGCTTTGTTTCGGTAATCCACCTTGTCAAAGATAACGGTTGATCGGCCTTTTTCAGCAGGCAGAATAACTATTTCGACTTACAGACAATATGTGAATGCCAAGGTTACATGTTAGATCTTAGTCCTTGTATTTTAACTGTGTTACACGTCAGAAATCATGCTAGGCATAGCAATGGCTAAGTATTGGCAAATTAAGGAATGATGGTGGGACGGGGGAGAGGGTTATGTCAGAAGTCACGTCAAGTTGGACAGAACAACATCTCAGTATGTGGGCCAGTATGCAGGGAATGGGCAGCGACTTCAAGAACTGCATCCTCGGCGTGCCTGACCGCTCTAAATGACCGTTGTAGTGGCTACTATTGAATAAGAACCATAAGCAAAAGAAGATAGTACGGAAAGGATCAGTCCAAACGCGAAAGCATACCTTTCAATGTATATGCCATTAAAGTAAGGAAATGTGGGGCGAAGTTGGACTCATTTCGGTAACGAAAATTTTGCAAGACTTAAAGCGACAAGTTCCTTGACAAACTAGTCCACTTGGTAAGATGATAGTTGGTAGCCGTGCCCACAGACTCCACAATGTTACCTACTGGGTCGATTTCAGTAACTGTGATTGCGTTCTCATTATGCTTCTAAATTTACGCGCACGCTGTATTACCTTATCAGATTCATTTTAGAGGTACTATCCTGGGCATATTTGCACCGGTAACGATGACAATGAGGCTTACCCTATGTCAAACTTAATTAGAAGAGGTAGTTGGCAACCGTGCCCACATAATCCACAATTGTACCTACTGGCATGATTTAAGTAGTTATGATTACGTTCTCACTATGCTTCTAAATTTGCATGCGTGCTGTATTACCTGTACCAGATTCATTGTGGAGGTACTATCCAGGGCACCGGTAACGGTGACAATGAGGCTTTGCTTACATCAACTTTCATAAGAAGAGGTAGCTCTTGATTGCCTCATTCATTGTGGAGGTACTAACTTGGGCGGATTGGCACCGGTAACGATGCCAATGAGGCTTACCCTTTATAAACTTTCATTAGCAGAGGTAGCTTTCGACTGCCTCATTAGTTGCGGATTTTCTCTTCCACCCAGACCAGTTTTTCGCATAAAAGTATTACTCGGCTTGCGTTGTGGCCTTCCGCGTGCCGCTGCTTGACTCTCGTGTCTTTCTGACCATTATGCTTGATGGAGTTCTATCGCTTACACTGCGGAATGACCGTCGGACCAGTTGCCTTCTTCCCATTGGTTGTTCGCCTTCACTTGCTTTTATTTCCAATCTGAGGTTAGGATGCATTCATTCCACACACCGTTCAAAGTCTCCTTGCTCATCTCCACACCTTCCTTGTATTTTTCACCTAATCTAACTTAGGCTTCCACTTTACCAGGAGCGTCAATTCCAAGCATATACTACAATCGCCAATTACCCGTCCACTCAATTGTCCCACCCGTATAGCCCCTATTACCACCGGTCCCGATTGACAGGTAACTTTGAGTTTGCGGTGTCAGGAGGGCTACCAACTATCATCTAACCGTCCACTTTCTTCTCTACTTCTGTATTCCAGGATTTGACAGTTGAGATCTTCGGCCGGATTTTCCAACTTTTGAAGTTCCCTCACAATATGTACTTCAGTTTCGGCGGTGAAAGGCATACCAATGAGTATTCTGATCTCTGTCCTCGGTATGTGGATTATGTCTTCGTCGTCATCAAACGGATTCAGGTGTTGACATTAAAAGAACATCATAACCTAGCCTTCCTTGAGAAACTATTTACAATGAAGGATAGGAAAACCAAGCCAAATGTTTGTCGAATGACATTACCGAATCGCATCTACCCCACATTTTGGCGAGCCTTTCCAAACCCCACGATCGGCCCAATGACCATCAGTCAAATTCTCAAACTGCTCGTAGTTGCAGCTGCATGCAGACCGGAGACAAGCATCAAACGCTATGTTTAGTGACCGAGAATCTTCCCGTCACCGCAACGAGAGTCCCCATTCTGTAAGCCGATCTTCTGCAGCTCGGAGAAAAAAACTACAGTAGGTGAGCTAACTCATGAAATCTCAACCGAAATTCCGAAATGAGTTTTTGATTCGAAAAGACTAATTAAGCAGGGTTGTTAAACTAATAATCATGCAGCATAACTCTATAATAATTCAGTTACACAAGGATGCTGTCTTTCGAACGTACTACTTTCCGGCTGCACGCATAAACTATATTTTGTAAAAAATGGCTACTTATGTAGCATACACTTTTCTCATTGATTTTCGATGCCTTTAAAAATTCAACTGTATTTCATTGAAAACATACATAAAAATATTCATTATCTCGCTCATTCAGTAGAAAATCACGTCGTCTTACAATTTTATATTAGAAGGAAGGGGATAATTCGGTGTTAAAAAGTTTCTAACTGTACGATTTTATAATAACATGAAATGTTCGTTCATAAATTGTAATGCCCCTGTATTTACCAATGTGGCTTCTAAAGTTAACAATATGGCTCATATCCACTGCTAAATTTTATGAACCGCAATTTGCCGTAATACTGTAGAGAAATGTATGGTTTTCTGTACACCGACAATAAACGGCTTGTAGTTTGGAAGCCCTGAATGCAAGTAAAGCGGCAGGTCGGCTTTAAAATTTTCGGCAATTGAAAAAGCTTTTGGGAACCGAATTGTGCCCTTCCTTCTTGTATAAAATTTTGAGAAAACGTAGTCTTCTACTGAATGAGCGAGTATAAATATTTTTATGCATGTTTTCCATGAAATATAATTGAATTTTTAAAGGCATCGAAAATCAATGAGAAAATTGCATGCTTTTTAGTAGCCATTTTTTGCAGCGTGTAGTTCTTGCATGCAGCCGAACAGATGTCCGTTCGAGGGCCGGCATCCTGATTTAACTGAATTATTATAGAATTATGCTGCAAAACTATTAGTTTTACAACCTTACTTGATAAATCTCTTCGAAACCAAAAGGCATTACGGAATTTTGGCTGACATTTCATGAGTGAGCCCACCTTCTGTATATCGTGGAAACTGGAAGATTCATCTGAAAGCCGTTTGCCTAAAAATGTTACAGCTTTGAGAGAATCGTCGCCAGATATCCATCTGCGGCGTATTTGTCAGGACCCGACCGAAGCTGAAATCTTTACGCAAAACGTTGACTAAATGGGTCAGTGATCACTTGTGCCCCCCACAAAACGGACTACGCCCTAGATTCGCTGGCCCAATAGGAAGAGGGGGTCTGGCAGGCGTCATCGGGGATTCGCACTCATAACGGAGGTGTGGCAGAAGCCCAGGTGCAGGCCTACGCCGCGCCGATTGGGGGATCCAAGCTGTTCCCCCTCTTCCCAGGTTGTGTACAATCCTGGTCAGTGCTCGTGGTGAACCAGAAACTGAGATATTACGCCTGGGTGCGGAGATCCGTGGTGCTAGCCACCCTCTCACGCCTCTGGTCTTCTTGACTCGGTTTTGACCCCAGATCCAAAGGCTGGGATTGTGAGGGAGCACGGCGGATGCAGCGCAATTTTACTACGAAAGCGTGCGCAAGTCACTGTCACTGCTCGCATCCTAATGTGAAGCACACGGTCGATACCGTCGGGAACGAAGGTCAAACTCTCAGTCATAATTATCTGGTCCATAGTCCACCAATGGGCAAGGCCATGCTTGAGCAGTTTCGTCTCAGTTTGAAATGTACTGGTGAAAGGGGAGTCTGCATAATTATTGCTTCCGGCGGCACTGTTGGTGAGTTAAATGGCTGAGCGATTAGTGGGCCAAAAGCCCACATCGTTGACGAAATTACGGCAATTAACGACTCGGACTCCGAAGCCCAAGCTGTCCTTCATGAATGCGGTATCTACCGCCATTATCAAGCCTGACAATTGCGTCCCGCAGTGCGTAAATTCGAGGGAGAATAAACTTTATGTTTCAGTGATCAAGTCATCCAACTGTTTTATGTAAGCAGAGTTTTCAATTGAAGCGCGAAGGTTTAATCATCGGCACCCTATGTGTAGGTGTTTTTCTTATATGATGTAAACATTAGCATTCCTTTCTCCAAGTTTATTGTGTCGAAAATTTGGTCTTCATATCCGTGTTAACCGGAACAATATAATGTGTACTCATCAAAAAATCAGATCAGAGCGTCAAGCATGCACAACTGTCGTGAATACTCACATACCCATCCGGTATTACAAGCTAAAGATCCTGAAACAGTCGGCGGAAGACTTAAACCTACCCCTGACACAAAGATTTATAAAAGTAAGGATAATGTTCCCCGTGAGTATTCTTAAGAAAACAGCGTTGCTCGGATTATTATCTCTCTGAAATGGGACATTTTGCCCCGAAGTAAACAAAAATTAAAAAATTGATTAGAATTGGATTTGTATGTACAATGCACGTTTTGCACGTTTTCATTTATATCCCTAGCCTTCTTGACAAGCAGGCACAATGGGATGCTCGGCCGAGATTCCTCTCACATGATGCTTGACCAAACGATTACCGCTAGAAAAAGAGAATGCGAGCCAGAAGAACTATCCCAACCACCGCATGTTCATCAAATGTCACGCAAACTAATACTATGAGAAAATAATAACGTGATAGATACTAGCTTCGACAACAAAAGCCGTCACACGGTCGTCAGCCTACCTGGAAGCTACAACGACCCGTTTGGTAGAAAAACAACAATTGGGCTAAACCGTCATAATCTGCCCTCTATAGAAGCAATGAAGAAATTTCAGAAGACGGGGTGTAGTACTTGGACAGAGGAAGCAATAAAAAGGGGCACAAAAATGACATCCACATTGAGAGCCCATTCAGTGAAGCTCTACTCCAATGAACGGGTGAGAAGATAGAGGATACACAGTACAGTGCGTGACCTAACTCATGAAATGTGTCGACATTTACGAATGATTGCCAATCACTCGCAAACCGACACGATTTCATGAGTCAAATGTCAATGTTAATTAAGAACAAGTTAAAAGGATTAAAAACATAACACACATTATAGAAAGTGTTTTGTTGTTTAGAAATGTCGATTTATTTTGAAAAGCTCAATATCCTGAAAACATCAGAAATGGCTCTTAGTAAGTAAAGTTTGTTTTTAGATGTATAGAATGTATTCTCATACCTAACACGTAGTAAATATGAAAGTAGACATAAAATCCCGTCGAATAACAGCGTTTAAGTGAAGTTTACATCTAAGTATCGTTTAATAAGTAGTGAGACACCATACATGACGGTTTGTCAACTGCCTACATTCAGAGTGTAGATTACAAAACAGTTTTCCAGGGTTTCGCGTTACTTTGGCGTCATTTGAAGTAAATAAGATGGGGTTCAACAAGAGAAACTGGATTTTGCTTTATTGCACCGATGGGGACGTCGTAGGATCAAAGGTTTTCATAAGGTGACATGCCGTGAGGCCGGTCGGTGCCTAATAAATTTAAATAGAACTGACAAGCGTGATCGCAAACATACCATTTTGTGTTTATAGACAGAACTTCTCTTCCGTAAAATTAATTTATACTTTTCTTTCGTCTTCGATTACGTTGAGTTTGAGATCGGTCTCGAAATAGTGCCGAATACTTCAAGATTTTCAATGTTTTCAACCGATCGCTCATGAAGACAGATTCTGAATCACCTGTCTGTTAAGAACTGTAAAATAGGACTGTTCTTGAAGGCATTTACCGAATAAACGAGTGTTCAGGCGCCCAGTTTCACGAAAATGTTCGTTTTTGTCACACTTGAAGACTCACTTAAATATTAAACTTCATTTTCGAGACAGATGACTGCCCACATCGAAAAGCACCAACGAATATGCTTTGGATCAATAAGAAAACTTTCCTTAAGACGTTATTACTTTAGAAAGTGCTTTAGTACTGCACTCATTCGACGGATCTATGTGTACTTTGCATTTTTGCACGGCAAGGCCATGTAAGAATTGGACACTTTTGACGGTTTCTTTCATGTTCCTAAGCAATACTAATATTTTTCTACCGTAAACGCAAGAACATGTCATTCTCTATATATTGAGGCCATTTTCACTGTTTTTGCTCCTTTTTAGACTTCGTTCTTAGATTATGAATGCACGGCAGAGCGCCCATAAAAATACAGATATTTTAATGAAACTGTCAATATTTTGCTCGTTCTGTTTCTGAAAAAATTATGTGCAGAAAATAAAATACTTGAAAAGTACTCTGGCATATATTTAAAGCTGGAAATGCCCATTCGGTGGTGGCCATCTATGTGACATCAGGTAGAATTTTCCAAACGGCAAAACAATTTCAGCCCACTTAAACAAGGGAATCTCTTTCTGCGTTATTATTGCACTTTAGGGCACCAGTTCGCACAGATCTGCTAATTTGACATTAAAAAATTGATAAAAGTTCTTGTTTTCTTAAAATAGCGTTTTTGTCAGGAGATTGATAACCATGTTCAACACCGGACATGAAATAAAATTTATAATCTGGCTAAATCTCTTTATCAAAACTCTCGTGGGTAAATTACTATTCTTTCAATGTAAAAGTCTGCTAGATGCGTAACTGGAGTCTAGGACATGCATTAGCATAGGAAATTGCACAAATATATTCCAAAGTCTATTTTTGTTAAAATTTACTGATATTTCACTTGATGTAATTACGTGAACACAATTTCTGAACAAGAAAAGGATATTTCATTAAATGATGTGGGTAAGCGAGAAAAATGCTTCACTTTAAGATCGTCCGAAAATTCTGTCATCAGATTCCGTTATCAGAGTTCATGAGATAGGTCACGTACTGTAGGTGGACCTACTCATGAAATGTCAGCCGAAATTCCGAAATCCGTCCGCGTTTCGAAAAGATTAATTAAGTAGAGTTGTAAAGTAATCGTTTTGAAGCATAATTCTGAATAGTACCGTAGTCTCAGGGTGCCGGCTTTCGAAAGAACTTCTTTTCAACTGTATGAAAGAATTATACTCTGCAAAATTGACTACCTAACTTGCATGCAATTTTCTCATTGATTATGGCCGCCCTTAAAAGTTCAATTATATTTCATGGAAAGCATGCATAAGACTATGCATATTTTACTCCTTCGGTAGAAAAAAACGCTTTTTCTTATTTAATATTCAGAGGCAGGGTATTATCCGCTTTTAAAAAAATTTCTAATTGTGAGATTTTTTAAATACCATGAAATGGCCGCTCATGAAACGTCATGTCTCTGCATTTATAAATGTGGCTTGTAAAGTTAACAATATGGCTCAAACTTTCTGCTTAATTCTATGAATCCCATATAGTCTCCGCTTAATACCGTAGAGCAATGTATGGCTTTTCATACGTAGAAAATATACGGTTTGTAGTTTGGAAACCTTGAATGCAAATGTAACAGCAGGTTGGGTTCAAAATTATTGGGGAATTGGAAAAGTTTTTGAAAACCGAATCATACCCTCCCTTCAAGTATAAACCTGTCAGACGACGTAATTGCCTACCGAAAATGTGAAAAGATGAATGTTTTATGTACGTTTTTTTTTCATGAAATACAATTGTATATTTAAGGGCACCGAACATCAATGAGACAAGTGCATGCAAGATAAGCAGTCATTCTTTGAAGAGTATACTACTTTCATACGATGTCAACGGACATTCCGGGCTCGAATCGAACTTGTTGGACATCCTCGGATTAACTGCGCCTCTCGAACTGCACCAACCATCGTCCCCCCGTCCGTCTCTTCCTCCTCCTCTCCGCCGCCAATTAACTCTGACAATTCTTCTGACCCACCACTCCCATCCTCCTCCTCCTACTCCTCCTCCATTGCTCCAACGGCGGCCGCTCAGGCGACTGTCACGCGCGCAACAACCGACACCACCACCCCCACCTCCCCCGATTCCAGCGATGAGGATCAGGACTACTCCTGCCCTCACTGCGACCGCACCTTCACCTCACACATCGGCCTGGTGGGTCACTTGCGAATCCATCGCACAGAGACTGGCGAACCGGTGCCTGAAGCACCAACCTACACCCACCGCACTCGCCTTCACTCCCCACACTGCCCTCGCACCTTCAGGCATCGCATGGGCCTATTCGGCCACATGCGCATCCACGACGACCTGCGGTAGACAACCGCCGGCCAAACCACACATTCACTCACTCCCTACCTCCCATCACCACCAACCCACTAGAAATCAACACTCACACACCTCATGCACCCAACTGCCACCTCCCACGCAAGTGGGAAGTGTGTAACTCGACTCGGTCCCCATGCGGCCTCGGCTGCACGGGTAACTTGAGTCCGAGACTATCCCAACACGTCAAGCGTCGGGGATAGGAAGGCTGCTGGTTGACGCCTGCTCTCGGTTCACGCAGTTCGTCGCGTTGTGTGTGTGTGTGTGTGTGTGTGTGTGTGTGTGTGTTGCGTGGAGTGGCGGACTGGTAGGCTCGGGACGGGCTGAAACAGCACCTTCCACGGCCCTCTCACGCAAGTGAGAGACAAGCCGCTCAACCCCCGTTGTGTGAAATCCTGGTGTTTGTGTGTGTATGGGGGGCCAGGTCGTGTCGTGGCGCGCGCAGGCATGGTCAGTCGACCATGACAGCCACCGCGCCCATTCCCCACACAAGGCTGCTGACCGGCTCGGACAGCGGCTGGGGTGTGGGAGCGGGAAGGAAGAGTGAGGTCGACGACTCAGCGCACTTTCTCCTCACTATAAACAATCTGACGCGCTTGAAGCTATCACGGTGCGCTAAAAGCCGTGGCCTGGAAGGTTGCCAACTGACGGGGTATCTTGGACTTCCTCCTTGACGGGAGGCGGTCTGAGAGTCAGGCTGCAATGGCTCCTTTTTAATGTGGCCTTTGTGGCACTCCCACCACAGTGTGGGATCCTAGCCAGTCGTTGGCGGCACGCCTAAGTGCGGCTTCGGTCGTGCCAGCCTCCAATCTCTGTTGTGCTGGTTAAAATCCTGGTTATTTGTTGTGTGGACCAGGGGGTGTGGTGGAGCGCCAAGGCGAGGATCCGTCTGAGCCATCCACCTGCGGCCTCCTTCGTCTCCGGTCTTCTTGACTCTGTCTTGACACCGGGCTCAGGCGGGGGAGGAGGAGAGAGTGTAGGTAGATGCAGCGCAAGTCTACTGGCACTATAAACCCCTGCGCAAGTCACCGTCCCTGCTCCCATAATGCTGTGGGGCATACGGTGGACATAATCGAAATCGATGGTCGAACTGTCATACTACTTTCATAGATTTGGAAAGAAGTTCTTTCGAAGGCCAAACCCTGGGCCAACTGGGCTTTTATAGAATTATGCTGCAAAATGGTTAGTTTTACAACTCTTCTTAATCAATATTTTAGAAACGGGAGCTAATTTCGTAATTTCGGCCGGCATTTCACGAGTTAAACTTCTAACTGTGAATGCGCGCTTGAACGAGGGCGTTCACGGAGGGTAGCAACAAAAGGGAGGTGGCATTCCAAACTACAAACTTCGCTGTGAATTCAGGTGATCTGCTGGTCCTGAACCTACCTTGCTATATGCTCATCGCCTCAGTCCACGATCCCCACAGCGTCGAAGTTGAAGATGTGTCCCGTTTGTGCGATATGCGTTGCTACCTCCAACTTTAGATTCAATCTTCACACGGTCAGTTCATGCTTGCACATTCGCGTTTGCAGCCGTCGGCCGGTTTCACCAACGTAGTTGCGCACCTCGCAGCTGCACTTAAGTCAGTAGACAAGGGCTAAAATCTCACATTCAGGGATAGGGTCTTTTAATTACAATACTTGCTGGCGGATTGTTGAGTCGGGCCTAGGAGCAACTTCTATTCCGAATGCGGCCACTGGTCTAGCAACGGCTTCGGGGATCCCCTTTCATGCAAGGAATATTCCGCTACTTCAGTAGCTGCCAATGATCTTCATTCTACGCTTGCGAGGGGATGCGTTCAGGTAAGGAAATTAAATGAACGGCTCATGCCATCTGGGGGGCAAATTTGGATGGGACGATCACTGACGAATCTGTAATAACTAATGCCATCGAGTTTCCCGAATGAAATCACTAAGTGATCGCGGTGCGACTGCATCCAGGCTGGGGCCTGATGACATTAAAGTCTTCAAGGTCGCAAAAACATGAATCTATCACAATATCGCATCGACTGGCGACCAACATCGGTATCAGATTTCAAGTGATTTCGGTACAGTAATCAACAGTCGCCAAGTGAAGTCATTTTGTAGAAAAACTGAATCAAAGTAGTATATAAATGTGTGAATCTAAGAGAAATGGCTGCTTGGAAGTGTAAATACACTTTTACGGCTTTGACCCCGTTCGGATACGTCTGAAAATTTTGGCCACTTTAAACGCAAATCTCCAGAGGTGAGTGCGAGCCTAAACAAGCATCTATCCCATATATCCCAAATTGGGCCAAAGGGCTTTGATTTGTTTAAACCGCTGCCTCATCGGTTCTCAGTGCGAAAAACCGGCGGGTTAATCGATTCGCCCTTCGTATCATGTGACTACGCACAATTTAGGACCTGGGCGATCGACCATCATATTGTTACACTACTCAATTTGTTTTAGTAACAAGGGTTCAAAAAACTTAAAAATGGTCATTTTCCAAAAGAGCAAGAGCCCTCGGTAGATCATGCACATAAAATATCGACCAGTTGGCTCGTCCTTATCTGCTTAAAGCCTGGACTGCCCGCTCAGCTCTAGTCTCTTAAACCCTGACCCATCTGAGCGTAATGATGGCCGCGATAGATGAGGTAAGTCGCATTAACATATCTAACCTGTTTCCCTTTATTCACCATCGTCTTCCTCTTAATTCTTTCAATATATAGCGACAATAGAAGGGAAAATCACTTAGAGGCTGGGCAGTGCACTGCCTTAATGGATTATCTTGGCATTTCTTGTAGAAGACGTTTGCATGACAGTCGCGGATGTAAATTTCCCAGATATGAGTTTACTTCTTGAAATATCTGTCTGACGGAAGTCTGGCAGATAAAAAGAGGAGCAGAATTGGATGGAACTGTTGTCGAAGTTCTTTATTGATGAAAAATAAGCAACGTCCACCGTGGAGTTCTGGGTGTGGATAACGGCATTGGATGCATCTTTAGAGACGGATCCCACCATGAAAGCATGACGGCACTGCGACAGTGTTCTGATCGGCTTACGGGTGAGAAAGACCCCAGGCACATAACGTGACGTAACGTTAATACTTCTTCTGAAATTATCGAACAGTTTTGAAGTTTTTAACTTTAAATTAAAATCAGATCCAAGTGGTAAAAAATTGAGAATCAGCGTGTCCCAGCTAAATAAGTCGGCTAATGATGCTACCATTAGGGGACTTATAAGTCAAACAATCAGAAGCTGCCAGTAATATAAGAAAGTGACTTAAAAATCCAAGAGCTGCTGAAATTGACGTTTGTGGCTTATATACCTTCTGTAACTAATAATGACCCAATTCCACGAAGGAAATGAACACAACTCCAGAGCGGATGCATAATTAAATCAGGATAGGAGTGGCCGATGAGTACGAACAAACCAGAAATGGTTGTCCGGTGTCCTTGACTTTTCAGTGGTGCTTCCCTGATAGTGTAAGTTAATATTTTCTGCACGGTTTTTACACACGGTGGATAATTCGGCTTCTAAACGCGCTTTTACTTATGATATGTTCATTTCTTAGAACTTCGAAATATAATATTATGCCCAGAACACTTTTTCAATCTGCGCGAAGAATTATTAAGCCGTCGGATATTAAGGAACTTATATTTGAATGATCTTTCCGGCAGGGCCATGTTTACATTTATTTCAAATCTAGACATCTTCTTTCGTGAGAAAATGCGCGTTTGTGAGCCAGTTCTGCGTGGAAACTATGTGTATACGGTAGGACACAGATCTAATGAAATGCTTCTTGGAATTCTAAACGGTGTTTTTGATTATAAAGGATTGCTAGGGTAGGGTTGAAATATGACGTGTCGTGCAGCGCAACCACCAACACGTTTCTGACACAGGGGGGTGCCGATTTCGATAGCCTATTTTTCTGGCTGTCTGCAAATGTCACGCATAAGTAATATGATTGCTGATACCCCTATAACTCTAAACCTCTTCCATAGAAGACGTCCACAAAGATGCTATATATGGCACTAACTGTGATGTAACTTACGTCTTCTTTGGATATTTCACTTAGAAAACGACATATATCGGTTTTGAAGTGGTTGCCACAATTTGATGTTTTAAGAACATGAAAGGCCTGTTCAAAAAACATCGTGCCTGACCGTATATCAACGCTTTTTTGAAGTGTGCCACGAGCTCCATATCCACTATTCAACTGAGCAAGCTAGGTAGGATGCCTTATTAAAAGCAAAAAGAATGTAGGATTCTTCGCTTATTAATTTCCTCAGAGAGAGAGAGAGATGAATGCGCTTTAGTTTGAAATCACAAATCCAAAATTTTCAGTAAAAATTCGCTCTATTCATTATGGGCAGTGAATAAGTTAATAGACTATTCAAGGGTCGAAAAGGTGAAGACAAAAGGAACGATTTTTATTCGGACCATTCAAGTCTTAGCTTCCGTTCGGGGAGCACATAGGCGAACACTTGTCACAGCACCAGGATTAGTGCGTCAGATGGTCAAGCACTCGTCACACCGGCATCGAACACCCATAATAAAATTGCAACAATTACCGACACGAAAGTCGGCCACCAAACAGTCAGCACGCCAAGTGCAACGATCCCTGATGAAGATGGGAGCCTTAAACATTCATAGGTATGCGGTAGCAATGGCGACTGCATCTTGTAATTACTGTCGCCCCTTGTGCATAAATCACCCGTATCTGCTTTTTTCTCTAATGATTGTTTCGAGTATGAATCCGAAACTTCAGGCTAATGAGGCTCTTGTCCCAGTGCTCGTGTCTCCTTCTTCAAAACTGCTTTCTTGGACTCATCTCTTGACTTCTATTGACAACAGTCGAGTTAGCTAGCAAACGTTGGCTTATGTCGATTACTCTATTACTCCAACTCCCGGCACCTTAGCAATATCCATCATTCACGTGGTCCAACGACGAATACGAAAGCGTTTTTAGGGAATCTCGCAGCCCAAATGGATAAGCTACACGCATTGCTGCAGTTTCGGCGGATTAGATT